AGCGAGTTCTACTCAGACATGCGTAAACGCATTTTGTCCATATGGGTCCATAGACTATATATAATAACTTTATGTAATCGTGTATTCAACTAATGATTCAGATTCATCAGTAAGCTTAAAATCGAACATCTCTGAGGTCCCAAAGAAATAAATAACGGCCAACAACCAGGGGCGGATTGGCCTATCGGGAAATCGGGAAATCGGGAATCTTCCCGATGGGCCGGTTCTTGTGAGGGCCTGCAGGGCCGCTATAATTATTACAATATAATTACAAAAAAAATTAAATTTTTATAAATTAAGCATAAAATATATTAAAAATCAAATACCTACGAAGGTATTATTTTTAATATCTTAAACTATTGCAATTCATAGTAGGAATTTTGGTATTTACAATATTATCCCTCCAATTCATGATAATGTATTATTTAGAAATCTGTGGTATTGGTATTTTTGTATTTATATTTTATACTCTATGGTAGAATTTAGTTACGTGATAACATTGATAACCTTATCTTATCATTATTTGTATTTTTTTTTGATTTTGAACTTTTTACACCAACGAGTTACTGTACTTACAGAAGTGTGTTTAGTGTACAAATTCAATTGAACTGTGCAATTTAAATTATGTGTGATGCTGGTGAAAAACGAAAGAAGGGTGGAGCTGAAAAGGTACGAGAAAAAAAGAAAAAACGGTTAATGGAATCTATTTACCTGGAAAATTGTTTTAAATTTTCAATCCTTAAAGCTATACATGTTGAACATTTTATAAATTTTTAATAACAAAATAATAATTAAATTTTGATAAATCTTGTCAAAATTCGAGCTTTAATTGCTTATAAAAAAAATGTATGGCTATGTATATTTAATATTTTTCAACTGATATTGTAACAATATATCAGGAGCCTTGTATTCAATTTTCAGGCTTTTTGGCCAAACAAATACAATTTTATTGGTATTTATAGAAAAAAAAACTAAAAAAATTAAAATTTGAAATGGTCCGTTAAAACATCAAAAAGAGATAATTATTTTCAAAATTGTATGGTGTATACAAAATGCTAATATAAATATTCAGTGAAATTTTCAAGTATCTACATTTTACAGTCATTCGTTTTTTAATCACAACAAAATAAGAAAATCATTACATGAGAAATCGAGTGAATATCAAATATTGTAAAAATTTGAATTTCAGAAGGTCATAAAAATGTAATTTGACTTTCTTGTTGACATTTTTTTTTTTGATAAAGGTAGACAAACTTATGAGGAATTTTGTATTAAAAATGTGTTTTAAAATTTGTTTACGAATTTATAACTCAAAATAATTTGCAAACTTTCGTCATTTTTACGTATTTTGTCAATATTTGAACTTTAAATGCTTATAGAAAAAAATTGTGACTGCATTTTTAATTTGTTTCATCTGCCTTTGAAACAATATACTAGGAGCTTTTTATTACATTTTCAAGCTTTTTAACCAACAAATAAAATTTTATTGATATTTATAGAAAAAAAAACTGAAAATGTCCGTAAACAGCTCAAAGTAAGTCAAAATGTTAAGGTGTGTAGAAAATACTAATATAAACATTCGGTCAAAATTTCGTGTACCTATATAGTCATATTTATTATGGAGTTGCTTCAAAAACCCAAATCGATTTTCTCGAAAACAGATTTTGCGTAAAAATTCCCCGATTTACTTAATTTTTCTTTTGTTTTTCACGGCACTTTTGAAAACCACCAGGATATTTTTATTTTTGACCCCCCAAAGTACCAACTAGATTAACTTTCCTATCAGAAAAGTGAATCTAGTTGAAGAAAATCTAAATATTTTTTATTTTTACTGTACTAAAATTGGATGACAGACGCAAAAATAAAAAATTAAACTAAAATTAAAAAATTAAAAAAAACAGATCATTGTAAAATCAATACATTCATCACTTCGCTCAGAATCTAAAATGTAATAAGATCAATCTTCAAGTTCGAGTTAGAACAGTCTGAACAGGTTAACCTTATCTGACTAACCCTAAACTGTTATAACTTTAATTATAGGTACCTATTATATATTTTACTAATTTATGGGTGAAACTAAACAAATTTTGAAATGTGAGTAAAATGATGAAAAATTTTTTTTTGGTGGGGGGTTACATTTGCGGTGCAGGGCCGGTTTGGTCCATATTTCCCGGGCCGAAAAAATTCGCCAATCCGCCCCTGCCAACAACCACTAAATGTCTACATAGGCCCAGCAAAAAACATTTCGCACATAGCCCCGATATTTACCAATATTTATCACGGCCCTGAGTAAGTACTTTGGAAGGTTAAAAGTTTAAGAGTTAAATTTCAAAAAAGTGGACATTACCTTTTCAAATTAAATTCATGGCGAATTCAAAATATTTTTTATATATTAATAAGTATATAAGTATATATTACTAGGATATACGAGTATAAGTGAAGTCTTATATGCTTATATCAATAAATTATAGATCTAGTATATCTTATATAATAGGCCACTCATAGCCCATATTAAGTATAGTAGACTTATTTTTGCAGAAAGCACAGACAGGATCGAACCACCTTAAAAAAATCCGCTTTTGTATAAAATATAGGTGTAATATAATGAAATATTATTAAAATTTAAAACATTCGTATTATTGGATATTTGTATTATAGGTATATTATACTATATATTATTGATAATTTGAACTTTAACCTCTTTAGGTTAATCAAATATGCATACCAATACAATATGCTTATATTAATTGAATTACAGTGTATCATTATTATATAATTATTAATAAATAAAATGACTGCGATTTCATGATAAATTAAAAAAAATATCACTATAATAAGTTGTTTGTCACGTTTTAGTTTGATTTATATTTTTTATATTTTGTTCCCATTGAAGTTTGAACAATATATTAATATACCTATTATATAGATATACTATTACTATATTATACTTCTATATAATATTATTATTGTATATTTGTATAGATAGGTATAATTGATTATTAATTATAAATTATATAATATAATGTATCATGTATAGGTATATGTTATATTAATTATATTAGTCGTCACTCTTTATGACTTTATCTATGTAATTTATTACGAAAACCATAAGATTATATGCGGAATATGTATTACACTATTACATATAAATGCATATTTATTAATTAATTTATTAATGTATATTTATTAAATATACGGCTATTGCAACTCCTATGGAAAATGGAGATATTGCAAATATGTAATGATAAAAGTGAAGTTATAGAATAAAAAAAATTATCGCATTTAGGTATATACACCTATATAGACATAGGTACAGTAATAATTTAAACGATACAGTAAATAAAAATGATATACCTGCCTACGTGGTATAAAAAAATAATACAAAATAATCATAGTTACGATACCTAACTAAATTATTATTAAACAATTCAAAAAAGTTTCAAAGTTGAAAGTATATAGATAATAGCCAATGCTCAGTAATAATGTAGGCAAGGCCGCCGCCGACGTTTCTCTCTGGTACACGCCTATACAACTACAGACACCTAATAGCTATGTGCAGTACCTAGGTCTAATCTAACCTGACACCTATAGTAAATATTAAAGCTGGAGTAGGTTTGGTACTGAATTTAAAATTGTAATTAGGTATGTCGTAGGTACCTATGTATACAATATTATAATATTGTAATAATAATATGTGATCATCGAGTATTCGAGTAGGTAGGTACATGTCCTGATCAAATATGTTTGTTGTCTTAATCTTAAACGCGTATCAGCCATCAGGTTAGGGTCTAACCTTGGGGGGTGGGGAGCATGGAGCAAATTATAATTCATCATAAAATTCATGTATAATATTACACATTTACACGGTTAAAACTTACGATATTCGTGAGTCACGACTCCCGAATAAATTAATAATATATTGTAATAACACAAGGCGTCACAACTCACAAGCTATACCTATTACCTATTGCAAACACAAATGACACACGCGATACATTGTATATAGTCATATAGACAATATTATATCGTGTAAGTACCTAAAGTATGTACTGTATAGCACAGACTAAATATGAAAATATTTTAGTATAGTCTGTGCCCTGTGGTATTAGCAGTATTAGTGGAATAGTGTATGGTATTTATGGATCGTGATAAATCGGCGATGATGTAAATATTTTGTAATCACGATATGGGCAGTGCACGTTTGGCTAGCGCCACCTGTGGACGTCACTGCCACCACTCACCAGTGTATTGTTATTGTTTCGCAGTTTCACTGATAAAGAACAAACTAGAAACTACATGATTATTATTATTCACAGCAGGCTATAACGGCAGACGACACGGAACGGACTTCCCCGACTGGCGACTGTGATAACGTATTGATCTATAGTCCGTAGTGTATTGTAGTGTATGGCGTATGCCTTCGTAAGAACAATAATTGTATGCACGTCATCCTATACTGGAACTGGAATATGATACTTTGGTGGTGGCGAATGTCGGACGGGCTTTTGCAAGGAGTCTCGTGCGATCTGGTTTGCTTAAAGAATTCGCGTTCCGCTGAATAGCTGGGGACAACAACATAATTATTATTTTTTTCACACCGTGGGACGACCGATAGTGCGATAGTAGGTCCTAATGTATCACATACCTATATATAATATTATGATGTGGAGGTGGCACAAATAATAATAATAACAATAATAATAATAATAATAATATAATTTATTCGCTGATGCGCCTTTCAAATTCAAAATTCAAATCGCGTTTCCGATTGTATCGTTTGGCATATACCGTACATCTATTAAAAGAAACAAAATAATAATAATCAAATAAAATATGTGAACTTTGCTGCTATGTTGTCTATAGTCGTGTGCACATTTCACTGGACATTTTTAGCTCCCAGATATCCATCAATGTATTATGTAAGTGATGAATTTTATTACAACTCTTACACTGGTCAGTGTAATCAATGTTTTTAATTTTCGTCCAGTTAATGATGACTGATGGATATTGATCAATCAGTGAATGGGTGGTTTGAAAGGATAAGCTTGATACAGAAGAAAGCTGATCACTACAAGCTTCATCAAGATATTCTTTCGTGAGTACTACATAGATATTTTTGTAACAACGCATCTTTATCACTGGTTACGTTTACAAAAACTAACAAGTATAATTTTGTTGCAGATCATTATCGGATAAGGACGGCTTTGATTTTTACATTAAATCAAAGGGAATTATTATTAGTGCACATACTTGCATATTACGCTGCCGCTGTCCACGGTTTTACTATGAAGTTATTAAAAAAGTTGATGTTGCTAATTTGCCAATACATTTATTAGAACACATTTCAGATTTTATCAAGTAAGTGGTAAATTGTTACAGCATAACACACATCAGTTAATTTGATGCTGTAAATTACTGATATCTGAATTGTTCTATATTTTTAAGACCATCAAATTTTAGCTATTTCTCATAAGCCATAATCAATATATAGGTAGTTATTAGTTATACTATATAAAGTATACACCATCAATTATTAAAATTAACATAATGTAGGTAACTGCAATTTAGTTGTTGTGTTATCATTTATTACATGCAAGTTGTCATGGTGACTAAGATATAACTCAACTTTCACTTGGCTCATCTTCACTGAAGCACATAGTTGTAGTTCTCATTAGAAATAATTAACTTACACCTGTTGATTTCTTGTTATCTTTTTCTTTTTACTCAGACGTTCATATTTTATTTAATCATCACTCTCTCTTCTAAAAATGTTTTTATGCTCCAGAAATTAGCATTTTCATAGTTCTATCTTAAGGTAATGATAATAATATGTGATATATTAATAAAAATATGATAGGCAAGTCGTAAGTAACAAACATTTAATGTTTACTTTTTATCTAAACTTAATATTATTAAACCATCATTTAATTTATTTTTATCGAGATTTTTAGTAAATGAAAACTTATATTAATTTTGTTTATCATCTATTAAAATACCAAATTTCAGCGTTTCAATAAATAAAAACATTTTCCTTAATATTCCATTCAAGTGCAAATACTATTTATAAATTGTAAAATTTAAATAATGAGATTAAGTTTATAAATGTATGTTATTATGTAGGTTATTATGGATTAATGTGTCATTTGTGTAGGCGCATTGAAGGTGTGGTAATACATTGTGTACGTGATTAGACATAATTTGCAAAATATGACTGAAATAAGATTTTTTTTCAATTATTATTCAATTACAATTTATTTTTATTTAAATAATTCAAAAATTTTTTGTAAATTATTATTTATTTTAAAAATTATTTAAGTTTTTCCATCATAAAATAATTTGTAGAATTTCAAGTTTGTTTTAGTTGACCAATCAATTTAAATGATTAAATTACAAATTTTATCAAACAATTGAACCAGAGGATCTAAATCTAATTAATATTTACACTTTACGTCTATATTTACTGGTATCCCCAAATATGACAATATATTCTAAAATCAAATTAACTTTTATTTAAAATTTAATTACTGGACATTTTCTGTAAAATTGATATAATTACCACACTATTCCAACTGTTTGAAATGTTTGAATACAAATTCAAACTTAATTTTTTTTGAATTTAAAATTGTTCGAATTACTTTAAGTTTAAGGTGTTTGAGGGTTTGAAAAGTTCAAGAACCCATCCCTAATTATAAAATAAATATTTTACATAAATTTGAATTTTGAATAGTTATGTTCACAAAATTGCATAAGTGTTTGCTATTGAATAATTATTTATACATTTTTTGGAATTTAAAAGTGTATCTAAATTTGATATAAAGAACAATTAAGTATTGTTGACAAAATTTAATTGAGACTAAATACTAAATAATGCTTAAGGAAATATTTTGCTAACTTATGAAATCAAAACTTATCTTATTGATTCATAATCAATTATTTCAGAATTCTACATAAAATCAAGAATTAATCTCATCTCAAAAGGGTGCAAGCGATATTTATATAGATTGTTAAACAGCTATTTTAAATAATTAGGTAAGATATAGGCTGTATAAATATCACTTCGCGAAAAATATCGCATGTACCCCTTTGCATGATTTTGTACTTTGACCACCTGTCACCTTTAAAGTATAAAATGCTCTTACTCATAAAAATGAATTAATTGTATTATTTCATATATTCTAAATTAATAATGGAATTTGATGTGTGAGATCTTGGATATCTTTCTAAATTAACTTTGGTTTTATTTATTATCTAAGTATTACTAACATAAATATAAGTAATGTATTTATTGGTAGATATTTACAATTAAATTAATAATCATTTATTATTTATGGTAAAAATTATAGTAAGTTATAATTTTTCACACGTATAATTCAACTCTGTGAATTTCAATTTTATTAAAACTACTAAAACTGGTTTGATGCCTAATCAAGTAGCTTGATGTATTTTTATTACAAATTCATATTTTTCAAAGCTTTTAAAAAATACTAATATTGGTTACAACAATTTAAAAATGAATAAACATGTGTATATACAAAATTGAATACTCTTCAATCTTCATCTTGTATACTACAGCCTACTAGATATAATAATAATTATTAATTACTTATGGTTGAGGACAATGGGAAAGCAAATCACACCTTTTTAAGAATTACAATGTTTACATACAATTTGCTTCTTATGATTATGATTTGTTTTTATACCAAATATGTATACTAAATGTTTATTTAAAACTGATTAATTTTGTATTTTACTATTTATTTTGTAGGTGTGTTTATTCTGAGAACAATGTTAGTGCACCAGAAAAAAAATTGATTAAATCAATTAACACTGATCATCCAAAAATAAAGAAACGTCCATCCATTGATTTATATGAACCTAAACGAATCTCGTGTGATATAAATCCATTATATTATTCACTAGCACAGTATGATGATTTTTCTTCAAGTGAGTTCAGCGATTTTGAACAGTGTGCATATGATGACATAGAATCAGTCATTTCAAACCAGGCGAATATTAGTAATTCATCATTTGGTAGCATGGACATTAAATCAAATAATTCAGTTGAATCTCGCCAAATTAAATCACAATTAAGTAGCTCATGTCAAGAGTCAACTGTGTTAACTAATGAAGAGAGTTTTATAGATGAAAAATCTTCACTAAGTTTTAAAATTGATGGATCAGATATTGGCAACAAAGTTAGAATAGTAAATAATCTTAGCTGTGAGTTTCAACATGATTTTATAAAAAAACCAAATGCTGATATAAATAGTTTTTCAAATCTAGAACTTGCGATTGGATGTAACAATATATTAGATTCATCGATTCATGGTCCAAAAAATAAAACAAATCCAACACCTATTGAAATTGTGATGAATAATACCAAAGGCTGTAAACCTGATTTATCAAGGGTTGACAGTTTGATAAACAAGAGTTTAAACGAGGAAAATATTTTACTCAATGATAACACCGATAGAATGATTCAAGAAACTGATGATGATTTAGATGTCTTATCGCCACACAGTTTTGAAACTTTTACTGTGATTAAAAAAAAGAATGAAAATGAAGATATTTTTTGTAAATTTAACCATTTTGAGAATAGTATTAATACAAGTGACCAAGATCCATTAAAAAGTGAATCAAATAATTTTCAGACATTTACTGTAATAAATGAAAATATAATAGCTGATGATGGCAGTGAATCTCAAACAGATATAGTTGTAAATAGTGTATCTTTTGAACCTGAAACTTCAAATGATTATAAAACATTCACTGTTGTTAACGGAATTAGTAGATCTCCTTTTAATTCAGAACAACTAAGTAGTTCATCTAATTCAACTCTATCAAATAGTAAAATATATATAAATAATAATGACATTGATTTAGATTTATTACCATCAACACACACAATATCTCAATTTGATACAATTACATTGTTACCACAGTCAAATAATTACAGTGATTGTGACAAGGAAGAAGACAATGTATCAACAAATTTAAATAATGATGAAAAAGAGAATAATATTTCTAAATTTGATATTGATACTACTAAAGAAGAAAACGCTGGACATAATGAGTCCTATAATCAAATTAATTTCAAACCTGAAGGAAATATTAGAAAGGAAGTATTTAGTTATTCAAATAATATTGAAAGTATTGTAACTTCATCTGAAAGTAGTATATCTACTAATATGAAACAATGTAGTGATGTTATACCTAGTATATTAAGTACAGTTAGTGACAATGCTACATTACATTTTATTTGTGAAGATAACAATAGTCAAAACAATTCAACTAACCAACATTTAGAAAAGCTGAAAAGTTCTGGTGAGTCGGATAGTACTCTGAGTTTACATCTTGAAATTTTAGAGAACACTAAAGGAATGAATTCTCCCGATTCTTTAAATGAAGATGATGTGTTTGGTCTGGAAGAAAAGCCGATTGTTTCTAATAAGCTAGAATTTGTACCTTTAGAAGCAACACCAATAAAAGATAATAGAAGTCCACGTTTGTCTAGAAAATACATGGAATGTTCACCTGTTATATCAGCTAACGCTTATATTCCCGACATTGATGTGGAAAAATCAACTATCACTGAAGAAAATAGTGAACGTAAGAACTCAAGCTCATTTTTTATTGATTTTAATCAAGGTAAGCCAAAAAATAAACCTAAACGTTTTGAAAATCTCACAAAGTCTTTAGATTCTAGTACGATTGCTAATAGTAAAGAAAAAATATTCTCTATGTTTATTGATTTCAACGAAGATTCAGAATCTAGTGAATCGTCGTCTAAAGGTATTAAACATCGTAAACCTCAAACACTTGCAGATCGGTTTGTTAGAATGCATAGCGAAGAGGCTTGTGTCAAAATTAAAGATTCTGAAAACACAGTAACTCCTCCTCCAAGTCGAATGACATCAACTGTAGAAAACTCTTCTGCTGACATTTCTGATTCTTGTAAGAAACAAAGTGTATTTATGTTTATTGAAAATGATACACCTACCCCAGTCAAACGAAGATCATTACCTCAGAGTTCTCGACTTAAATCTCAAAGAAATTCTTGGAATGTTGACAGTACAGTTGTTCATAAAACTCATCATAGAACTCATAGTGTAAATTTATCTGAAGAAAATCACTTTGATGCCAGGATGACTCAGAGTCATATAGAAACAGGATCAAATGACTTCAATAAACCTTCAGATTCATTTGATACTTTAGAATGTAATGTAACAATAACTGTAAATGGTGCAAAAGACAGTGGAATTGGTTTAGTTGATTCTTTTGTCCGACTATCTGATATGGATAAAGCGCCTTCTCAAGAAATTATCAGTAGTTTAAATAAGAGTGAGTCAAAATCCGAATCTTTGAGACGAGATTTAAAAAACACTGAGTTAGGCAGATGTTTAAAACGAATGTTTCCATATTTAAAAAGTATTGAAGTGGAACGTATATTACTCTCCAAACCACCTCATGTTCTTGACAGTAGAGAAGAAATTAAAAGTGGTCTTGGGCAAGATTTACTTCGTATGTTTTTAGAAGAAATTGGTGCGGATACAACTATTGATGTTAATGGAAGACGAATTAAAGCCCATAAATGTGTGTTAACTTCAAGATGCCAATATTTTGCTGCCATGTTCAGTGGTGGATGGGTACAAAGTGCTGGGAATGTTTTATATTTGAAAGGGTAAAAAAAAAATCAGTTTCACTTTATTCTTAAACATTCATTAATTTTTTTTATTTTAGATTTTCTTACAATACCGTTCATTTAACATTACGATACATCTATAGTGGTGAATGTGATTTCTCTGAGATTAAAAATGTGGCTGAATTATCCAAATTGGCTGATATGTTATGTCTTGAAGGATTAAAAGATAACATAATGTTATATTTAGCCGCAGAATATTGTCATTTCTTTAAGGAGGTTAATATGCTAATTAGTAGTTTTTGATATTAATCTTTAATTTATAATTAATATTATTAGGTTTGCGACCGTTGTACTATTGGCATTCTCGAGTGCTTGACATTAAGTGTTGCTTATGGACTCGATGATCTTTATTTGTCTTGTATAGTATGGATAAATGACAATTTTTCAGTAGTCTGGCCAACACACCACTTTGTGTCACTACCACAGGATTTAAAAGTCAAATGTTTCAGACATAAAGTTGCACACATTGATGTAATATATTTTTATTATGTAGTTACACAAATGTAATTCTTGACTGTTAATAATCATCTCTTAAATCTATAATTTTAATAAATTGCAGTTTTTATTGACCTCAATACAACTACTATATTTTGTATATATTGTATTAATCTGTTTTTAATTTGTATAGGATATAAATGATGTATTGAGTGTAACAGAAGGCTGTGAAAAGATAAAAAAATCTTTACCAAATGATGAATGGACTAAAGAAGTAATAGACTTAACTACAGACCTTTCAAATAGTGTAATAAAATATTTGGCAAAACATTTTTATCCTACCATAACATCAAAATAGTAAGTTGGTTATAATAAATCATAATCATGTTAAATATAAATTTTATACCTAATATAATGTATTTCTTGATAGTTTTAAACAAATACTCGAAAGTGAAAACTTATTTGCTGATAGCTTTGCTACACATTTGTTGGCGTCTTGTAATTGTGCAAATAGAAATCAAATAAGACAAGCTTATGATCACTTGAACAAATCATCATCAAATAATTTTTGGGTAAAATTACAAGTTAACTATTTTAAAAACTCGGCTAGATAATTTTAAAATTAATCACTAAGTATAATCTAGGTAATTTATAATAACATTTTTAAATATTTTTTTTTACCATTGATTAAATATAAATTATGTCAGACTCAGTCAGAATATATGTGTACCTTTTACAATATATTTTGTTTTGTCATTATCTCATTAGTGTTCATAAAATCATAATGTATAGGTCGTAAAGTTGATAAGTTATTGATTATTCTTGCTTAAAGAACATCACAACACTAAATTTTATTTTTTTTATTTTTAGTATATTGGTGTATCATAATAGTCAAAATAATGAAAATCGTTTTGGTATAAATCTGAAGTTAAAAAAATGATTATTCAACGAGACAATGAGAGTTTATGAATAGCCGCTTGACATTATAGAACCGACAAGTGATGAACCCCCCATGTTTTACATTTAAAAGTAGTTTGATTTACACAATAATTAAAAAAACTTATGATAATATTAAAGAATTATTTTTTTTCATAAACCAAAGTATATTTATATGCTTAAGATGATGATGTGATTTAAAATTTAAAATTTAATATATCTTGTTATTGGACACATATCATGAATTATAATTAAGTAAAATTATTGACTTCGCGACTCGCTCCGTGTTACCATATAAACTACATTTTAGAAAATTTACTATGATAGTTTTATCTACTATGTAAAAAAACTAGAATGTATGTCAAAATAATAATCACACCAGTATCACATACACAAAAAAACACTAAAGGTTCCGTAAAAAAAAATATTATCTTTAATAATTGAAATTATTGTGTTAATCTAGACACTTTTACATGTAAAACATAAGCCGTCATTCCGGTTTCAGCTCTATGACGTCACACGCATATCATCAAACCCTTGTATCTCATTTTATAATCAGTGTTGAAGTGTGAGAGCCACACCATATCTATGTCTTACACCAGCGGTTCCCAAACTTTTTTAGCTCACGGCGCCCTTTTTGAACTAAACTTTTCTCAAGGCGCCCTTCCCAAGACATAGCATGAATTTATTTTTAGACCAGGTAAATTTCTACGGCGACGCGGCGCCCCTGAAAAGACATCGCGGCGCACCAGGGCGCCGCGGCGCACAGTTTGGGAACCGCTGTCTTACACAATGACATACTTTAAATCTATGCACATTTGGTTTTAGTGTTGTGATGTCCTTTAAAAGTAAACAATTAATGTAACTTTGGTCTAATATTTAAATATAAAGTAGACCAAGTATGTAAGTTGTTCACTAATTTAATATTTTTTTGGGATTCTCATTAGTCATCTTTATATATAAAAATATATCACTAAAACTCAAAAATGGCTCGACTGGTTTGAATAATTTTATTTTTGTTTTGTTCGTAATTATGGTCAAGGCAAGGTTTGTAACATTTTATAAAAATTTACCAGAAACTGGAAATTTGGATGGAAAAAATACAACATTGGCACCATCTGTCCAGCAAAAAAAATAAACTAAATAATAATATATTTTTGTTTATTGTAAGGTGGTTATTGGTTATGATTGAATATAGTTTTAGACCTGTACCTATTTATATTTGGTCAAAACCACGGACTAAGATATAATGGACTTTAAACAGTGGCCACAAATGTATGTTCAAGAGGCAAGTGCGAGGGCTCGCAATGGGGTCCCAGGGCTTACAACGCCATCTGTATAAATCTAAAATAAGGATTAAGATACAAAATGTGAAGCCAAATAAACCACCGGTAGCACGGAAAACATTGGGTCCAAAGTGTGAGGAACCTTTTGGTGGCCATCCCCCAACCACCGCAGATCATGTTCTTTTAAGTCCATTATATCTTAGTCAGTGGTCAAAACTGCAAAACTTAGTAAAAATCTTATTCCCAAGGCTAATTTTTCAACCATTGTCCTGGGAACCTATACATGCACATCATAATAACATTTGGAATTGCATATGCACCTAGTGGGGTCTGAAAATATACTGTTCCGATAATCACAAGCGTGTCTCACGGACAATATATAAAAATATTAAATATCATTTATTTAAAATCTTTTATTATATTTTATAAAGCTTTTCAATAATCAATTAATTAAAAAAGTATATATTTTATAATATTGTTCATTATACATTTTCAGCATACACAAGGAGACATTTTAGTGAATGCTATTATGGAGTTGATAGTTAAAGGTTTAGCTTCTGACTTCAGGAACGGTAGAGAAAGACAAGCAATGGGTAGTCTTCCAAATGATTATCGAATGTCCGAAGCCCTTGCTAAAAGAATTGCATTTGAGTTGGGCTTACCTGGAATAGAGTTAGCAGCAAATGGAACTTTAATAACATCAAGCCCTGTTAAAAAAATGACAACTAGTACCAAAACGTTAAATAAAACTCCGGAAAATAAAGTTAAACTAAAAACTGCAGTTGAAAATACTCCATTAACTAAAAGTAAAACTCCAGGAAAATTTGCTGAGGTATGAAAACAATTTTAAATCTTGTATTATAAATTTTATTAAATAATATCTATACAACATTTTATAATTATTTAAAAAAAAAAACTATTTCAGGTAAAATCACGTTATATGGAACCAAAACCACAACTGACTACACCTACACCTCCAAAGATGTTATCTGTTCATAAAGATTTACCTCGTGGCCGTCGCATTATGTCATCATCAACATCTCTGATTTCATCACCTAATGTTAGGAGCACTATGGCAAGTTCTAGGTTGTCTACTAATCGAATAGACAGTGGCTTGAAAACTAAAACATCGTCTGAATTATCTCTGTCTACTCCTAAACCAAAACCTAGAACTATGTTACCTAAAACTGATCCACTACCATCTAACAATCGTACATCGTCCATTGCAATAAAACAAACACCCAAAACAACTAGAAAACCTATACAAAATAATGCAAGTATTAAAAAAACCTCAAACGAGAAAATTATGAATGGCGTTAAAAGACAGACTATTATTCCTAAAACAAAATTGTTGCCAAATGGACATCCCACTATAGGTTCTAGATCAGGTACATTTTGTAAAGATGAACCTACTGTTATACACAGTAAAGATATTACTAGTTGATTCTGTGTTTGATCAATCACGCACAAAAAAAAAAATTATAAAATGACGGTTCATATTGCGTATTTAATATTAAGTATATATTATAGTTTTAGTCACTAAAAGTGTAATTTTTTTCCATTTCAAATCTGATTGATATACTTGCCCTTTATTAATTTTACTAGAAATGGAAATTCTTAATACTAATACTAAGTTATAGTATTTGTAGTATTCTATCACTACCAAAATAAATGGGAAATTATTTATAAATTGTACTAACGTACATTTATGAGTAATATTAATTTTAATCATTAAAATTTAACTACAAATCTATATGTTTATGTTTACTTGTTTTCTTTTTTTTTCACATAAAAATATTTTTGCTCATAATAATTATTATTGTTTAGGTATGTTTAATATTGTATAAAATATGTAATTTTTCATCTGTCTGAAGTAAACAGTGTTTACTGTGCAATATATAAATAAATACATTATAATAGTTATAATACCATTTAACTATTTTTTATGATGTTTCGATAAACTTTCATAAATAATTATAACAATTTATTAATTGTAAACTTATATTAACCTTGTTTGGACATAAAAATTATATACATTTTAAATATAAATTATTTAATATTATTAGTTGTATAAAAATTGTATTTTAGATATATATTATATATAGATATATTATTTTTCCTTGTTAATTAATTTTTTTTTGTTATGCAATATTTTAAACAATTTTATATTAAAATAATAAAGTCCTAATGCTGAATTTCTGTGTTTGTAAAAATTGCAATATGTTAATACAGTACTTTTATTTTATAATGTGAACTAGTCATTGTGCCATTTAAGATTTAAATTCTAAAATTTTTCATTTAATGTTAACTATATTTATTATTGTTTATTATTTATTTTTGTATTTAATAGTTTTTTTAAGCACAGAGTCCCGTATTTATTAGTACACTTATTTATGTTTGTATTTTAAAAATAATTCTTTTGTAAATATTTTAATTTTAAGTTATCCTGCGCTTTGTCCGTCCAAATTCCAAAGATAGTATAAATAATTGTTATTTTATATGAACTAGTAGCTGTTTTGAGGATAATTTAAAATATTATTCAACAATTGTGCAATTAAGAAAAAATGTGCAATCTCATCATTGAAAGTGTTAAATTAATTATTGATTTTATTTTTGTGACTAATTGTAAATTATTTTGTTTTTAATCTCAATATCCTAAACACAGGAATATTATCATATTATGTTTAAATTAAATAGTTAAAAAACAATAATTGTATGTATGATATATCTTTGTATTTTGTTTTGATTATGCTTGAATTCAAAACAAATATGCACCTATATATATTTTTTTAATTCAGCTTTAGCTTATACATAATATATAATATAATAAGATTTAAGTTACTATAAAAACTATTATTAATAATTTATTTTTATTTTTAATAATATTATGATATCATCCTATTTTTTAGTTGATCAAATCATAGTTTATGTGATAATAATAGAATCAACCATTTATACTTTAGCTCTCTATTTTGTTCAAATATAGGTATTTATTTAAGCTATGTATTTAAGCATTTATGTAATATTAAAATTTTTGTAATGTTACTGCAAGCATTTACAACTATCCCTATTATTGTTACCTATTATCCAGGTGAAGATATGTATTAAAGTCCAATATTTGCTTTTGATAATGTGTTAAGCTCAATACATATAATTATAAATATTAAGAAAATAAATTAATTCATATGTATGTTTTAAATATTTTCTAACTTCTAACTTCAACCACATGCAATTTCCTACAGGACTATGTTTAAGAGTGTTAGAAATATTTTAATTAAATACTCGAGCAATTCCAAGTACTCTGGACAATTTAAAATAGGTACTTCAGGAATTATGTATTTATGAGTACCTACTTGAAAATGTTGAGTTATTCTAAATACTCGTCTAAGTCGGACATAGATATAATCTCGGATATATTTATTCAAACAGTAGTGGCTGGTTTTAAATCAGTGTTTTAAAAAATTACAAGTTATAACTATCCAATTAACATGTTATTAGTTAAATGCATGATACAATTTGATCGGTTTAGTTGACCAAGTAGATTTTACCTTAAAAATATAAATAATTTAATATGTATATTTAGTATTTACTATTCAAGTATAATTTGTGAGAACAAAAGTTTTTTCAAGATGTTCACTAAAGATTTCTCAGTTAGAATCTTTCAGTCTTATAAATTAGTTTATATGTATATTATTAAAATTAAATCCATTCAAAAAAGATTTTTTTTATATTCTGTGGACATATTTAAAATGTTTCAAACTGTAGGTTTATAGTGACTTATTTATAATTAAGTTATTATTTGTAATTTTTTCTGGGCATTTTTTAATAATTTTAATTGCATATTTCAAATATTTTTAATGCAACAAGTTCAAACTTCAAACCCTATTTATAATCCAACAATTTTATAATGTCTTAGGGTCGTTATTTCTAAACAATATATTGAATGTTATATTCGGAATAATGGAAAAAGCGCACAGTTTTGCTCTTAAAAATATTTTCATATTTTTATTTTAAAATAGGTATTTTTACTCTAGAATCTAAATTGAGCATGTTCTATTCAGACTACGCCGATATTGCTCATGGGTGAGAGAGAGAAAATCAACAGTGAGCTGCAACTTCTTAATAATGTGGATGACAATTGGTCTGATTTAGTTGTTAACGAACGTTTGCTAAGATTTTAAGTACCTACAGTACAAAATATAATTAATTTTTTTGTTGAATCTTAACTTGTTTTAGATTTCAACTATGGAAACATTAGAGAAATGCTAAAACTGAGAAAGAAAGAAATTTGTAGTTAATTCTACACGCATCAGTGTCAATATTATACACAGTTGAGTATGGATTTCGAGGTGGGAGGAGTTTGCCAGCTTGGCTTTGATTTTATATTAAACAATAGTTAAAATAATTACTGTTCATTGCTATAGTAATTAGTAATACTCAGTATGCTCAGTGGTTACTATGAATGTATAACATCAGTTGATTTTGAGAAAACCACATAACTGTTTAATGTTTATATTCTAACAAATTCAATTATGTAAATATGACATACTATATTCAATACAAAATAATTACAGCAGTTTTAAATAAACTTTGTACAGATGTTGAAACAGCTAATGGTATTCTTAAGACTACTTAATATAGGTAGTGTTGAAAATATTTTAGAAAAGGAATAAAAAATACCGCAACTACACTAATTTTTTCAATGTGGTGACACCTATAGTAACCTATCTAACGCCCTAACTCTATCGACTATCATTATTGCATACTTGCATGGATCTTATAATTTAAATGGGCATATAACTGTTGGATAATATATAGAAAAAAACATTTTTATTTGCTTTTTATGGAATTATTCAGTGTTGACGTAAAATTTAATACACCCAATACAGTGACTCTCATGACACCTAATGTGTAGCAGAGAGTAACAGTTTTTTTAAAATATATTAATTCAATTGAGAAACTATAATAAAAAGTCCAGGTAGTTAATAGGCTATATGTTTTATTGGACAACTATACATGAGTGATGTCTTATATAATTAATGTTATTAGCTCATTATAGTTCACTAGGCCACTTCCATAATAAAAAAAGGTACAACCTACTTCTTGAACAGTTATATTTATTTTTTAATTGGTTAAATAATACACACATTATAAACTATGTCATTATCATCATCAAACTATCAAATTGTCCTTCTAGTTCAGTTATACTGTTCAACATTTCCAACCACAACCGCTCACACTAATAACAATGATGTCCTCCCTACGGCTACTATTTTCATTGTTGTCAAACCTGTTTATTCACATCCAAATAGGGAATACTGTTTGCAAGTCTATTATTTTAATTTCTAATTTAAAAAAAATTTGTCAGTTAATTCACCATTGATATATTTTATATGCCATGTATAATGAAAAACATGTTTACCTTAGCCTCGCACATTTTGTAAAATGACGGAAGTATAAATATTTATAATGATAGAAAATGTATTTTATATTTCCCTTTTTATAAGATATATAGAAACATATAACAATCCAATATTTATAATAATACATCATAATATAAAGAATAACAAAAATAAATTTTAATTAGTTATATTTAAAATAATATTTTTAAAACAAAATTAACTATCAAATAAAATAATACTTTATAAAGAAAATGATATGGAATATGTTCCTAATAATAGTTAAATAATAAACAATAAAACAACAATTTATATCAACTAATAATGTTATTATCATTAGTTATTTCTAGAAATTGAGCACAAATATCTCTCCAGCATTCGCCCTTTTGATTGAACACAAACTTGTAGTAATTTCCATCAGCACAAATTACTATTTTAACAAGTTAAAAATTATAATGTGCTAACAAACTTAAAATTTAAATTATTACCTATGATACAATTGTTTTCTGATCCAAATGCACAAACACACTGTGGTCCATTGGGCACTTGAAATTTACAAAAGCTCCAACTAGAACTAAAGTATTCGGTAGAAATTTGATGCTAAACTTGACTGTTTATTTAAACTTTGGTCTTCTAGTGCAAATATATGAATGGTTCCATGATCACTAGCCACACACATCATAGTTGAATCCGCATTGAAGTTAATACTAAATTATTGTTGTAAATAAATGAATAAACAAATAAAATAAATATTAAGATCAAAATGTTATCTTTAAGTTTTGTAAAAACAACAAAATAAATTACCAATAAATTTGAGCTGTATTAGTTCCTCTTCGAAATTCATATAACATATTTCCAGACTTTGTGTCAAATACTCTTATTAGAGTTCCCTAAAAAATGTTTGTATTTGCTTTAATTAGTTTTATCTACAAGTATTAATTTTTTTGATTATAATGTACTCTTTCAGACGCTGTAGCCAGTCTTGTACCCTGTAAATTAAGAGCTATACATCCTAAGAGGGTTTCATGTGCAGCAATATCCAGAGGAGGTTTATCTGTATCTGCTAGATCTACCAATTGAACATGTCCCATTTTTCGCCCCGGGAATGCTAATAATGAATTGTTGCTATTGGGGCATAGCATACACAAACCTAAAAAATACAATTATTTAATTTAACTAGGTTAGTAAGTTGTTAAAAAAAAAATGAAAAGATAATTATAAATAGTATAATGATAATATATCCCTTTGGATTGGCATGAGTTTCAAACACATGTAGCTGCTGTGGAGTCTGCGTGAACGTGTACACTTTGATGACACCTTCAAGCACAACAACTATTCTATCTCTTCTTAGCCGCACACATAGCACGTGTGTGTTGAACTCCAAAGTAATCACAGAATCTTTTTTCAGATCATCCCAGATAACAACTGTGGGAAAAATAACCTCACAAATGAAAACGCTGATGGGTTTAATTTTTGTGCAACTGAGGTCGTACCTCTGTTTGTTGGATATTTTGGTGATGTGCCTCCACCAACCATAGCTAAATAATTACACCTAAATAACATTTCTACAAAGGCAAGGCCACCATCTGGAAAGTCTTGGCGCACTTTTTCTTTTAAAGGGTCACAGTTGTAAACTCTAAAGCCCTTATCCATACCACAAGCAAAACATCCTGAAAACAAATCATAATTAATTAGAATTAGATTTTTTGGCATAAAAACCTACATCTAATTTACCAGACACCCTTTATTTCAATTTTTTTTTAAACTTATGTAGTTAAGTATACTAAAATGATAATGAAGTCAGAATTTTGCTGTCGGGCTTAGTTTAACAGTTAGGACACTTTAACTTTAATATTTTATATTACAAAAAAACACTTTGAGGTTCAATTAATTTGCAACAAAAGCCAGGTCATACACACGACATTCTATCAGATAATGGGATCAAACTAAAAATTTAAGAAATTACTGAAACTGGCAACTTGTATCGTATTTGTAATTTATAACCAGTCTTGATAGGATTACTTTACAAGTACTTTTTTTCAGTATAATTATTAAAATATTTTTTTATGTTTAACACAAATGTATACTTAAAATTATTAATAAAATATACATTCTTTAATTCGTTGAAGAAATTAAGATATCATAATATACGTGTCTATTATATTGTAGAGTTAAATTTCAGAAAGGTAGATTTGAATTTTAGATATTGTGTCTTTTAAAATTGTAATACACGAAACAAAAATATTGTCCGTTGAAATACGACGGTAAACCGAAAATAAGTATCTATTTAGTATTCTGGAATAAAAATGAAAGAGAAAGTTTGGAAGTACTTAAAATGGGTACACTTGTCAAAAAGTATTTAATAATTATTTGAAATACCAAAAAAGTATTTAAATACAAGAATTCCGAATATTCAACCCGCAGGTTGCCTAAATATTGATAGGCAAGGTAGGTATTTAAAATCGTCTAATTAAAAGCGGATCAATTAGTTAATTACCTTGATCCTGATTGAAGCCAGCGAACAATAGTCGGTTGCCGTGTGGATTACTCCTGCCGATGTTCATTATTTCAACTCAGTTTACTGGCTGGCAAGGATTTTTTCAACATAAATCCATCCGACAACACACCGTGGACGGACAGGACGTGTTCCCAAACCAACTTGTTAACCGTATCGGCGACCTATTGGCTGCGTGAGGCACCTTGGGTGCATGATAAAAACAATTCGACCAACTAAGCGTTTAACGTTTCCTTTGTAGTGCCGGGGAAACAACAAACACATAAAATAGCATGCATACCGTTCGTGGAGACGGAAGTGTTCCGCAAAAACTGCAAAAATCTAAATTCGGATTGAAACCGTTGCAGCAGAATTCTTAAATCCGGAAATGTCGGCGGGACAATTAATGAGAAGGAAAAAAAAACTCAAAAATCAATATTATTATTATACGGGAACGAAAACAATAACAACAAACAACATCGAAAGAAACTCGTTTCGGAGACGACGGCGTTCGGGATAAATAAAATTAAAAATAATCGGAACGTCATAATAAAAGAGATAATGAAATTTATCTATGTATTTACATTCTCATTTCTCGGTAATTTTCACACGTCGCTCGCTTATCTCCGGACCGTTATCAATCACCGTGGGTTGGCACCGCCGCAACGTCAGCTGAACACACGGGGAATAGTGATAGAAATTGTAGTCTCAGCAGCAGCAAGCTGCAGCTGCTCTTGTTTTTTCGTTTTGCTTTTTCCCGTCACCCGTTCTATTATCTATTGCAAGTTTTTTTTCCCCTTTTGTGTATAACACACGCCATTGATATTATTATTATTATTATTCCCAAACTGCCGGTGATTGCCGCCGCCTCCGATATTTTGCCGGCTTGCCGCCTATAATTGCCAGTTGCCGCCAGTCTGCGCCGACCATCAGACGGTAGAGTGTGCTGAGTTTAGAGCGTTCTAGACAGACAGTGCGGTAGTAATGTAGTATCGTTCACTACGTTCACTCGTCGCTCGTCATTGTGGTCGTCAGTCAGTCAATGCGTGCCTAGTGCACCGGCCCTTGATAGTCTATATATAAATGTTCATCGTTTTTTTTTCTGTAGGCTGTTAACGGTTTTTCAAAAATCGTTTCTCAGCGATCCGGCTACTAAGCTGCAGCTGCATCCGTAACGCCATATTATTAATTATTAATAACACAATATTCAACGTTAATATTATTATTATTGTCATTTCGTTACGATGATGTCCTGTCACCCGTCGTCCGAACTCTACTCAGGGCCGTCGAGTTATTGACCCATCAACATATGCTATTGGCCGCCGCTTGCTTGTCATCGGTTACGAAATCGGAAATAGGTCCCCGCGGGCCATCGACTACCAATCATCCATCCGCTCCGAGACCGGATCCGTCATTGTTCACATTCGAAGTGATTATATCCCGCAGGAGGTTCGTATTATTATAATATTATGCAATTATTATGGAATTTATGGTGTAATGTCATAATAATTATATGTCTGTCATCATAGTGACAATAATAATAATTGCGATTTGCGAGTTCAACAGTATTTAACCCACCTACCCATTTATATTACGCACGTCAATCAGTATAGGTACTTATATTAGGTATTAGGTACCTACGCGATTTTAATTTACGACGATATTTGCATAAAACGCCAAATACCTATACCTATTAATTATTTATTTCAATTAATGGATTTCATATTAGTATATTACCCACGCTATACTACCGGATTATATGGTTACCTACAACTAGGGTGCCATCATAGTAGGTATACAAATATTTGTACAGTATAACACACACTTATTTAACAACGATTTGAATGAAAAATTTTTCTCGGTAAAAATGACGAAATTTATTTATTGAGGGTAGGAAAAGACCCCACCCCCTCCTTGAACCGTCTCTGGACCTTGGATACGTTCTTCGCGTGATATGACTAATAATTATACATAAACGTGGTGGATGCAATAAAACATTTTATACAATAATATAACTTATAAGGTACCGTCTACGTGTTGTGTTACTATTTACTATTATATTATGCTGATCTACAATACGTTTTGTGTTGTCCATTAATAAAATGTACATAGATACGACTCGGTCAGGTTTTTTACTATTGTCAAGGTCCGGGGGGCGATTTTGGCCTTTCGTTTTGGCACTGCCTTGTAGCGTATTATTATTATGTATACGATACACAGCTGCAGGTTAGTGATTATTAATAATAATAACGATAAAAATATGTGGTGGAGGGGAAAACAGTTTTTGAACTCGAGCCACGAACGATTTTAAACATAGCTGCAGCACGAAACGCCCTCGAGGACAACTGACAGACCCCCACCTACCCACCCTTCTACAGTTCCGCGTCGTCCCTTCGGTTATAAGTTGTCACGTGCCACGACAACAATCGTGTGTGTGTGTGTGTTTATTTTATTACTTATTATGTCAAATAATATTATGTACGACTACAACTCCGGTCTTCTTTAAAAACCACCCCCACGCAAACCCACCGGTGGGACGTGCACCTGTGGATGCTCAGGTATACTACCCCAGTCCTCTTTCCGTCAACAAGTTTTCCGACACCGGTTGATGACCTTACCGACTGGGACCTATTTTTCGAACTCAATCAATAACCGCAATTGCACCTTATTAGAAACGCACATTGAAGTATGTACTTTATGAAGATACACTGGTAATTTCTTGTTTTTTTTTTTCACGTATCCGTGTTATGCCAAAACTTGTGCAAAAATGCTTCAGAATTAAATCGATTTTGATTTTTTTTGATAATCTAATTAGTACCCATAGGTACTATACTCTATTTGCATAATAATTCCCAAACTCGCTCATAAATACTCATTACTGAGCGACGCGAAACGCTCATCAATCGTGTATTATAGTACAGATATTCAAATTGAATTGTATTTTTAAAATATTTTGAGAATTTTGGAGGGTTCTATTTCTGTCGGTATTTTGAATAGTTTATAATATTGAACATACATTTTTCCGTTATTCTTTTTAATTTTAAATTCGTATTTATAATACTCCCTGCACTCGTTTTCGGAGTTTACGCCATTGCCGTTGGTACCTAACGAAATACTATGGTTATGGTACACGAAATATGTATGCTACAATTTACAAATATTGTTACAATATGCGTTTGCTTACCGTTACATACACGCTCGGTGTGCCGTAACGTACCTATTATTTGCGCGATGAAAACTTGTTTGTGGAACACTTTCCGTCTCGTTTGGTTATTAATTATTGCCAGAGTTATAATTCAGAAAAACATATTTCACTGATTTATCAAGATTATGGCATTTGCAGGAGGGTTTAAATTGCAAATTACAGAACGATTTTATATAATTTTATACATGCTTAAAATTGATTTTTTTTTTTAGTGTTATTACGTGTGTTTATGGTAGACGTTGAGTGTATTAACAACAAGAGGCTTCAATATAATTAAGTGGTATACTCATTATATTATAGTACATAATATGACTTATGAGTACCTACTTATATTCAATAACTTATTAAGTTGTGTAGATATTTTAAACTTAACAGTAAAAAGTGGGTCATTGTATAATGGATTTATGGATGGTATTAAATTTGAATTCAATGATATATAATCATTGTATAAGAAAAACGATTCTGAGCGGAGACGGTATGTCAGTCTAGGTATAAGACCTATTATATGTATCCTATTATATGTATACTTATCTATGGTATTAAAAGAAATTGACCTATAATAGGTACCTATAATAAATTCCAAATTAATCATATCACAATATCCATTAGGTACTTATAACGCCTTACATCGACAACAAACCCTGATACTATCATAGATATATAATAGTGTACTTTAGAAGTTTCAAGTATAATAATAATATTATACAATCACAACAAAATAACTAAAATAGTTATTCTAGGTTTTTTTTATGTAATTTCATCCAAATTTGAACTTAAAATGACTGTAAAAATAAACTGTGCCTGTGTATTTTTTTAGATTTTTTGGTAACAGAATTAGCTACTTTCGTAAAATAATTATTCAATTGTAACAATATATTAGGAGCCTTGCATTCAATTTTCACTCTTTTTTACCCAAAAAATAAAATTTTATTGATATTTATAGAAAAAAAAAAACTAAAAAAAATTGAAAACTGACAATGTCCATTGTCCTTAAACAAATTAAAAAGAATCAAATTATTTTCAAAATTTCATCGTGTATAGAAAATGCTAATGTTAACATTCAGAGAAATTTTAAGTATCTACAATCATTCGTTTTTTTAATTACAACAAAATAAGAAAATTGTTACATGAGAAATCGAGTGAATATCCAATGTTGTAAAAATTTGAATCTCAAACGCTCATAAAAATTTAATTTCACTTTCTTATAGACATTTTTTTTCTATGTAATTAGATAATCTTATAAGGAATCTTGTACTACATTTTAAAATCTTAGATTTAAAAAGAAAAAATTTTACGATTTCTTAACTCAAAATAATTTGTTGATTTTTCCATATTTTGTCATTTTTTGAACTTTAAATGCTTATAAAAAAAACTGTGACTAAGGATTTTTAATATTTTTCATCTGCCTGTGAAACAATATACTTGGAGCCTTCTATTAAATTTTCAAGCTTTTTTAACCAACAAAAAAAATTTTATTGATATATTTAGAAAAAAAACTAAAAAAAGTGGAAAATGAAAGTTTCCCTAAACAGTTTAAAATATTTTGAAAATGTTATCGTGTATAGAAAATGCAAATATGAACAACCAGTGAAAATGTCATGTATCTACGGTCATTTGTTTTAAAATTACACCAAAAACCAAATTCAATTTTGTGAAAAATTGATTTGCGTAAAAATTCCCGTTTTTCCTTAATTTTTCTTTTGTTTTCTTGGCGCTTTTGAAAATTACTGGGAATTTTAAATTTTGACCTCCCCAATGAATCAACGATATTCACTTTCCAATCGCACAAGATACTGAAGTTGAAAATTGAAGCATTATTTCAACTACTTATCGTGTTGTACACAGACACAAAAAAAATTAAAAAA